GCCTGTGAGCTGACCCACATCTATGTGCACCAAACCTTCCTCAAAGAATGACCCTCCGTATTGCATTTGTTGTTTGCCTCACTCTGACTTCACTGCCAGCTGGGAACCACAGCCCACCTCCTTGTTACTGCCTGCTGAACCTTTGTGGAGATGTGGCATCACAGTGCCTAAATCCAGAAGCAGTAAAGGTTCAGACCCTCCTGCAGGTCATCTCCTGCAGGCTGACCTTCAGCTTCCGTGGCATCTGACAGGGACTGTATCCATGCCACAGTCTTTCCCTCATAAAGGACATCCATGGGCTCTCTCTTCTCCATTGACAATTTCCTTGAAGGTCACAGGAAACTCAGCACATCTCCACCTTCCTGGCAAGGCACACCACACCTGCATGGCCAGAAGCCAGGCAGTGTGTGTGGGGTTCAGCTGTGCTACCAGGAGGACAAGGGCTGGGAAGGATGGTGCCCCCAGAGCCCTGCTGTCCAGACTCAGTTGATGATGCTCTGCTCGTTCAGAGCAGCTCTTCCCAGCCTTTTATTAATCACAGAGACTTCTCTTATTTTTGAAGAATCTCCTCTTAAACACTGCTGTCAAAGAAATTTTCCTTTACAACTGCCCAATACAAAAGTGAACCCACTGTGCTCATTCGTTTCTCCTAGCTAAGGGCACGTGATTTCCTGGAATCACAGAGTCATTCAGGTTGAAGAAGACCTCGAATACCATCCAGTCCAACCAGCCAGTATTTCCCACTAACCCATGTCCCTGACTGCCCTAAGTGCCATTGCTCCGTTGCCCACATCAACTACCAGTGGCTCATGCACTGACATTTGAGTTCAGGGCTGAGTTTAGCTTGCAAGAGATGCCCTAGCTTGTACATTAGGGAAACAAAGATGCTCTACTTCCCCAGGACCAGATTTTATTGCAAGAAGGACAAGAAACCTGATGGTTCCTGCTGCAAGGGCAGATGTTTCCTTGGGCTGAGTAGCAAGGTAGGATCAAGGTCATGACTCCATGTACCAGCCAAGCCCTTTGCTGGCAGACAGAGCATCACACCCCTGAGCATCCCCAACCCAGGGCAGAGGTCTGACCATCCCACTGCCCATGGCTGCCTTTCTGCTATCTCCACCCCGTGGCTTCAGCCTGCCCTGGAAAATATATAAATAAATGAGGAGAAAAGAAAGATAAGGAGACCAGGAAGAGGGATCAGGTGAGGACGAGTTAAATATAGATTTGAAAGGCTGAGGGAACTCTCTTGCTATCACAGAGACAATTAGGATGAGTGAAATGCCTGGCTTGGGTGCAAGTGGGGTGACAACTAGCATGCAGAAAACAGTGGTGGGAACCAGAGGATGCTCCAGGAACACCATCCTTCCTCCTGCTTTGCTCTGGAGCACAGTCTTACTGCTGAGAGGTTGGCTGTGACTCCTTATGAGCAAAAGCACAGGCTGGATGGGAAGCTGGTGCCAGCTCCCAGCACCACAAGCTCACCCTCAGGCTCGTGCTGGAGCAAGGTGTGGGAAGTTGGCCGGCCCTTCTCGCCTATGCTGAACAAGCTGCTAATTTTAACTGGGAGTCACCTTGAGCTGATTGTTGGGAAGGAAACTTTGGAGAAGGGACATCTGGCAGCACCCTTGGTGGGTCTCAGCAAAGCCTATCTCCAGGGCTGGGTGAGTGTGGATGCCACGAGAAGAACAGAGAAAGGGTGCAGGAAGAGTTCTGGGGGAAAAGAATAAGGAAATTGGTGACATAGGGTCCTGAGTGTAAAGAAGAGTTCTCCCTCAGGACCTTTTCCTGATGTCCTTCCTCACTGAGGCTGTTTCTGGGTGTTTGTGGAGCTGGAAAAGCCTTTCCTTGGGCAGATTTTTAGGGGATTCGGCCTCTGCTTTGCATCGGTACCACATCTCTACTCTCACCTAAATGGCCTGGCAATGCCACATGGCTTCCCCTGTCCTTTGGTTAGAGGCAGGCCACCCACATCTTTCAGACCCAGTCCTGAGCATCACCAGCCCTGGGGGATGCTCTGAACCGAGTCTTCGTGGGGAAGCAAGCCAGATGGGGTCCTTGGGCTGTAAGCACTGGGCTTACAGCTGAGTGGGCCCTCCTGGAAATTTAAAGGGTAAATATTCCCCTTAGTGGAGCAATACAGAGACCAAAGTACAGCTGAGCAAGGCATTGATGCCTTTGCTTGCTCTGCATTGCTTTCTGGGAGATATTTGCTCCATCCTGAGTAGGTGGAGGTAAAACAGAGTGAGGTGAGGGTTCCCCACCAACTGCCTTCTTGGCAACCCTGCCTCACTGTTTGGAAGCAATGTGGCAGTCTCTGATCAACTGCAAAGCTTGGATCCTCGGGGTACTGCTCCTTTGTCACCCTGGGAGAGGTCCTTCTTTCCCTCATCTTCCTTCTCCCTCCTCTGCTTGTCCATTTCTGCTAACCTCCTTTCTATCCTGCTCTGCCAAACCTCCGTGGCAGGGGGTTTGAAACTAGATGATCTTTAGGACCTTTCCAACCCGTGCCATTCTATGATTTTATGATTCTAACTCAACTTCCCAAAGACTTTTGGGAAAGACTGCAGAGTATGCTGTACTTAATCTTTCATCAGACATCAGAAAATCCACCTTGCTGTGAATGCCTGGGTTATGGGAAAGGCCTCATCCGGAGCTTGCAGCTTGTTAGACGTCAGGGAAGCCACCTGATTCCGTATGTCCTATGCAGCCCTGCCCTCCCACTGGCTCTCCTTTGCCTTCTCTCTTTCTCCCACCTCTCTCTTTGGGCACCTGCTGATTTTTCCATGTCTTTCTCAGCCCTGGCCCAGGCTCCAAGTTTCCAGACACACTTTCCACTTTGCTAACCTGTCCCAGCACACAGCTGTCACCTGGAGAAGGTGCTACGCTTTGGCCAGGGGAATATTTCCACCTTTTCAAGGTGGACAACTGAAAAACACCAGAAACTTTCCATCCAGAGCCTCCAACCACTTATAGGCAGGGAGTTAATGAACACCTCTGCACCAATATAAGAGCATTAGCTGCACAGGTGGAATTTTTAGGTCAAGGATGTGGATGAAGTGACAGGACCAAGACTGTGTAGGGTAGAAATAGCACAGACAGATAATGGAGGTCTGGGTCTTTCTGTGTGAGGAATGGAAAGGCCATGTCAAGGGTCTTCACAAAGACTGGTTGGCACGTGGGGAAGAAATGAAAGGACCCTCCTGGTTGTCCTGTGAAATATATATTATTAAGCACCTCTTTAAGCCCTTGTCTGGGCCATCCAGAGAGCTCATACTCTGCCTGAGGCAAGGATTACCTCTTATCTTGTAAAACACCTTGCAGAACCCAATACCTGCACAAAATAAACAGCATGCTCTTGCTGGGAAGCTTCACTGCCCCCTCATAAGTGAGCTGTTTGGGTAGCAATACCAGTGCTGCAGATCAGCAAAGCATCACAGAGTGTGAGATCCCCAGCCACTCACACCTTTGCTGCCCATGGGGCTCAAGGTCTCTCTCGGGGCTATGGAGACACCCAAGCCCCATTTGCTTTAAGGAAGGAAGCATTGCAAGTTGTTTCTTCCCCCGGCTCATTGTGGCAGAAGCACCTGGAACTGCGAAGCCAGGTGAGTGTCTGCCCCTTCCATTTGTCACAGGTGTGGCAGGGAACAAATTCAACACGTGAATAATAGAGGCCATGATATCCAGTGCAGAGGAAGTGCGACTTTCTGCCTCTACTTTGTTATGTTCGCCCTGGGCTTGGCCACGTGTTGTTACTGGCCATAAAAATACGCAGTTCCTTTCTAAATTGAGCTACAATACTTGACTCTTTGGCCTTGGGTGATAATGAAATGCACAAATGTTTAGCAGATACCCTGGAACTCTCCTTCCCTGTTTGTTCCAGCATAAAAGATCCACAGAAGCCGTTTCTATTTCAGCTGTATTTATTTGCAGCATGCCTTATCATTAATAAAAACAAGTGGACCAAGCCTGTTTAATCCCAATTTAGCTCTTGGATCTGCTCGCAAAGGACTCAGGAGGCCCAGCAGCAAGGCTGTGAAGATGGAGATGGTGGGATGTGATTTGCTGGACTGGTCACTGTAACCATGGTTGTCTGCTCCCAGTAATGCTGATTTGGAGGGTTTCTTCTGATGTCTTAGCAAAACTGCATCTTCCACCATGAGGGGCAAAGCTGCATGTGGTTCTGTGTGAAAGGCAGTGGCAGAGCGTACGTGTGATAAAGAAACAGCTGAGACACCAGGGGTTGTTTCACCTCCAGGTTTGGAGGATCCCACAGCCCAACCATTGGTGTCTAATGCTCTTTTCTGCACTCTGTGCTTTCTCGTCCAGCTGCAGTTGCAGTGGTAGAGGGGTGTAGGTCTCCCATAGACCCCTTCCCATCAGTCCTGGGGCAGGATGTGGAGATGTCCTATAGCACGAATCATCGGTGAGCTTTGCAAAGCAGGGAGACTGAGGGAGGACGCTATTCTATCCTATTATTTTTATTTTATTTTGTTCCATTTTGTTTTAATTTGGACATTTCTGTATCGTTTTCCCTCCCTCCCCGCTCTGCTCGGAGCCCTCAGATTCACGGGGAAGTGGAGACATCTGGTGGCCACACCACGAACCTCTTCTCTTCTCCTCCTTGGGCTGGGAGGATGACTCGGAATCATCAGGGTTGGAAAGATCAACCACATCACCCAAACCAACCATCAACCAATGCCTGTGACCACTCTAGACCGTGTCCCTCAGTGCCACATCCATCCTTTTCTGGAACACCCCCAGGGATGGTGACCCCACCACCTCCCTGGGCAGCTGTGCCACTGCATCACTGCTTTTTTGGAGAAGAAATGTTTCCTAACGTCCAACCTGACCGTCCCCTGGCACAGCGTGAGGCCATCACCTCTCGTCCTATTGCTGTTAGCTGGGAGCAGAGCACAACCTCCTCTCCGGGAGCTGGGAAATGGGAATGGAAAATGCAGGAGCACGCTGCCATCCTGACGGAGGAATAAAATAAAATGGAAAATGGTCTCTCCGGTTCTTTATTAAGGATTCAGGGTTGACAACCCAGGCAGGAATGACTCCAGAGCTCGGAGGCCTGATGAGGCCCCAGGAGGTGCAGAGAGGACACCTCCCTGCGGTGTGGAGGGGACAGTGGCATTGCATGCAGCCCCATGCCACCCTCCAGGCAGTGATCCCCTCTTCCTGGGGGAAGCTGGGGAGCTGTGACACCATCCACATCCCTCCTTTCTCCCCATCCCCAAATCCATCGTGGCAGCACACAGGAGAAAGGGAGATCGTGGCAAGAGCCATCACCAACCTGTGCAGGATGGTGGCTTTCCTCTGTCCCCAGGTGCCGGTGGCTTACGGCTGAGGCTCTGCCTCATACTGCTTCTCTGTGGCCGTGTAAAAGTCCTCAAGGACGGACTGCAGGTACTCAAAGGTCGGGCGCTCCTCAGGTTTGTTTCGCCAGCATCTCAGGATGATGCTGTAGAGCTCAGCTGGACACATATCTGGGCAGGGCATGCGGTAACCCTGCTCCAGGTTGCGAATCACCTCAGGGTTGGTCATCCCTAGAAAAGAAGATAGCCTGTCATGGGTTATTCAGCACTGTGGGGATGTGGGGACAAGGGAAGACCAGATGCTGGGCTACATTTGAGCATCATCCCCATCTGCAGTCCCTCATCATCCAATCACCCTACCCCCAACTCCCTTCTACAGGCTGTGGCTGGATTGGAAGTACCCATCTGCAGTCCCCAGGCATAAAGCACTTGAAGCCCTCATTAGATGCTTTGAAGCCATCCCTAGATTCCTCGAAGCCATCAGTACAGGCTTTGAAGACACCACTAGGTTCTTTAAAGGCACCAGTAGATACTTTAAAGCCATCACTAGATGCTCTGAAGCCATCGGTACATGCTCTGAAGCAGTCAATAGATGCTCTGAAGCCATCACTAAATCATTTGAAGCTGATGTATGCTCATCCCCTACTCACCATACCTGGATAAGGGATCCTGCCGTAGGTTATGATTTCAGTTAAGAGGATCCCAAAAGACCACACGTCAGACTTGATGGTGAAAATTCCAAAGTTAATGGCTTCTGGTGCTGTCCATTTGATCGGGAATTTGGCTCCTGCTCAGTGGAAGCAAAGGGAAATATAGGATGTGAAAGTGCCTGTGGGCATAGCAAGGCATGAGCCCTGGGTTTTGCATGCTGTTGGCTGCACTGAGGAGCTGCAGTGTGACTTACTGAAGGTTATGAAGATGTGGCCAGAGGAAGGCAGTAGTTGCTTTCATTAAAAGGTTATTTCTACCTGACAACAGTCTGCACCAATTTGGTCTTTCCCCAGTAGAATCAAAGCTATTCCAGCTTTAATGATTTTCTGACCTGTATGTGCTCAGAAATACACACACGTCCTGATGCACAGGGACCTGATTTGCTCTGGGCTTTGCTTGCTTGGGACATCTGCCAGCTTCTCTATGTCCAGGTTCATGGCTCCAGCTCCCCTCTGCAGTCCTGCGGTGCAGTGACCGAATTACACTGCCCTTTCCTCCCCTTTGGGCTGACTCACTGTTCACATGTAGGTACAGGCAGCAGGCTTCATTAGTGGAGGTCAGATTTCTCTAGGGATGCAACCTGAGATTCAGCAGTACTCCTCCAAACAGTACCCAAAGGCCTTTTTCCCCATTTCCACCTGCAAACCTCATTTGTTTATTTATGTTCCCAAGTGCTGCTGCCTCTCCTGGGAGCCTGGCGCTTTCTGAGCCTGCTGCCTGGGTACTACAAGGGCAGAAATGGGGACTCTGGTCCCAGCCCAGCCTTTGGATGCCCTGTGTCTTGGCACATCTACAAGGTAAGAGGACTGGAGGTAAGGGAAATCAGAGAGTGAGGCAATGCAGGAATGACACCCACCTTCTTGTGCCAAGTATTCATCCTCGATGATCCTGGCCAAGCCAAAATCAGCAATTTTGCAGCAGAGTGTCTCTGAGACAAGGATGTTAGCAGCTCTCAAGTCACGGTGGATGGAGTTCATTCTCTCAATGTATGCCATTCCCTCTGCCACCTAGGGAAGGAGAACAGAGCCCATCTTCATCTGTCACCTTCCCAAGGACCACTTCTTAGCATGGTTGCATCTCGCCCACCCTTATGGATGCACAACTTGTATGTAGGGTTGCCCAAATGCCTCCATGTGCACGGGATTACATCCTTGGATGGATGGATGGATGGATGGATGGATGGATGGATGGATGGATGGATGGATGGATGGATGGGTGGATGGATGGATGGATGGATGGATGGATGGATGGATGGATGGATGGATGGATGGATGGATGGATGGATGGATGGATGGGTGGATGGATGGGTGGGTGGGTGGATAGATGGATGGATGGATGGGTGGGTAGATGGATGGATGGATGGATGGATGGATGGATGGATGGATGGATGCGTGGATGGATGCGTGGATGGATGCGTGGATGGATAGATGGATGGATGGATGCGTGGATGGATGCATGGATGCATGGATGCATGGATGCGTGGATGGATGGATGGATGGATGGATGGATGGATGGATGGATGGATGGATGGATGGATGCGTGGATGGGTGGGTGGGTGGGGTGGATGGATGATCAGATAGATCCATAGACAGGTAGATAAACAGGTAGACAGAAACATCTGCACGTACACAGATGTTACCCACATATCTATGCATATGTGCAGCTCTACCAGCATTCACCCAGTGTCTGAAAGCTTTGAACAGCCAAGACAAGCGGAGCAGAAGCATCACTCTCTGTTTTGTTCAGAAGTTGTGGCTTTGAGTGGTGTCTGTAGTGAGCTGCAGCAAGTTGAAGCTAATCTGAAGCCACATCAGTGGATTCCCTATTTCTGCCACAGGACTATCCCTTCTAGTTGGGATTTTAATCATCAATACTACAGATAAAATAAGTGAATTAAAAAAAGAATTAAAAACAAAACAAAAACCACTCAGAGAGCTTGTCTGTCTCTCAGTCACAGTACTAAAGTCCAGATCCAGGAGAATCAAAGTCTCTTCAGCAACCTCCTCTGCTCTCCTAAGCAGACCTGCTTTAGAGTGGGTTGCAGATCATTGGAGAGCCTTCTACAATACAGATGAGACTCATGTTTTCATCCCTTGGGTTGGATCCAGAATAGGAACCAAGGACAGAATGTAGCTGCCCTCAGATTTCTATGGGATGCAATAGAGAAGAAAACCCAGATTGGGTTAGTAATATAACTGACACAGAGGGTATGTCCCTATGCAGATCCCTTGTCCTGAGAACAAATTGCCTTCTTCAATCACCTCCATATTTTGGGAGGCTCTTTCTCCTGAGATCATCCTTCAGCATTCAGCTCATTGGAGCAGCCCTGGGGTGTGTGATGAACCCCTATAAACCAGGGCAGTGATCTTTTACCACTGAGTGCTGGGTGATGTGGGATTCCAAAACTACTGTATCAGCCAAGTCCAGATTTGTGCCAGGCATTTTTCAGGATGAGTGGATGCACACAGCACTGCTAATAATGGTTAGCACCTATTAAAGCTTTTAAACGCCTGTGGGTGATGGCAGAGCAATTTTCCATCCCGTACAGATTCACATCAGCTTCTCAACTTACATGTGGTTTCAAACAGGATACTAACACATACTTTCCAATGCTGCGTTTCTAACTTGTATCAAAACCCCTTCTGTGCATGTGCTGCCTTCTGTAGTGGAAAATGGAAGAATTGATGTCATTTCCTCTCCTGACCTGATGAGATAGGACCCGGTGATAGGCTCGTTCCGGCCCAGAGATCTTTTGAGCTTTCATGCTGAAGAGTGACCACAGGATCAAGTGCATCAGCCCAGTACTTTCTAATTTTAGCCCCAACGGATGCTAGTGGATCCAAAATTATGTTTGATGGGGCTGGATGCCTGCTGGGTCATCCCAATACCACAGACAGTCATAGACTGCATAATATCTCAAGAGACTGCCTTCTTCCTCCTCCTCCTCCTCATCTCAGAGATACTGAGTGTCTGAAGCCAGCCGAGGAGGGAAGGGAATGATGAAATCTTTGAATTGATGCCCACAGCATGGAGGATGGGCAGAATCCTTCTCATGCACTTTAGGTGGCTCGCGTGGGGCATCACATTGCTCAGATGTGTGGGCTTTTGTCCTGGAAGCCATGGGCAGTTCAGGGTCCTGCAAAGAGTATGGAGGGATGCCCAGAAAGGTGCTTCCAGGTGCCCATGGAGAGGGGACATCCACATGCACTTGTGCTGAACCCCAGTGTCAGTGCCAACTATATGGGGACTCTTCAGCCTTCTCCACTGCAGTGAATGGGTTTCCGGCAGCTCAGAACAACCAGGTCACAATCAGGGCTCAAACCCTGAGCTCAGAGAGATGTTTAGGTTCTCAACTCTGGAATTTGCATTGGAAAAGGTCTCTCTCATGGTCTCCTGCAAAGTCTGTGTCGTCAGACCTATACAACCCTGGTGCTGGGGACAGGCAATTTTCAGACTATTCCATACTACTGCCTGGAAATTCTCTATCATTCCACATGTTCATTATTGCTCTCTTCTTCCACAGAAATGCATTGAGCCATGTTCTGAGGTGTAAATCTCCTGCCAAATCCAATGGTTTTCTGATAGCAATGGATTTGGATCATTATGCTTATTGTCAGATGTTTGAAACAAACCACAGGCAATATATTTCAAGAGATCAAACAATGAAAAAAGGCAAGGAGACAAGTAGGGAAGGGAAAAGTGAATGAGAGAAGGAAGGAAGAAATTGAGGGAAAAATACTAAATAAGGGGGTTGCAGATGGATTAAAAAGGCAAAACAAAATCCTACAAAGGCAAAAAGCAGTTCTCATAAGGAATGGTATATGCAGTTTTGAGGAGCAGAACATCTTTAATGACCCATCATCAGGAGGGAAGAACTGAGAAAAGCCAGCAGATCTCTACAGTGAAACTCTCTTTGTTGAGTTTTCTTTTCCTTTTTGTCCTAAGAGAAAAAACCGTCTTCCTGCTCAGTAAGCCATAAAAATAAACCAAAAACAAACAGACAAAACTATAACAATAAAAAATAAGAAAAAAAATAAAATAAAATAGATGTCCTCTAGCACTGCATTAAGTTCCTCTGAGGCTGCCCAAAGGCCAGCAAAGTGTTGCTGATGTGACATGCACATTAAGATGAGGGCTGAGAGAGGAAGGACCTTCTGACAGCATACCAGGAGGTGCTGTTTTCCTCTGTGACACTCGATGCTGGCACAGACTTACTTTGAACTTGCAAGGGACAAAAACAAATGATGGCCTCCAGTTCATTACCAATGGCTGATCACTAACCTGAGCAGACATATCGATGAGTTTGGGGAGATTCAGTTGGCTTCCTTCCTCTGTCTTCAAATAATCCAGCAAACACCCTGCAAAAGAGAAGAGACTGCGGTGAGTCTTCTGAATATGTCTGTGCATTTGCTTTCTCTGGTGCTTCTCTGAACAAGCAACAAATATGCCCACATCCTGGAGAAAATCCAAGGGAAGGCAGTGGGTGTCCCCCGCAGCACCTTCTGACAGTGTTCTGAAGAGCAGCCAGGTTCTTCCCTGCACACACCTCTGTAAAGTGCTGGACATTCTTCACTCAATGCCTCATGGTCAAGAGGGGCAAAAAAATAATTTCACCACGAGGAGAACAAAATTCTGCACTTCCAATAGGAATGGGGAGATCAGAACTTGAGATAATCTTCAAATGGAGTGCCAGCATTTTATGAAGTGGCTTATGAAATATGTAACCACGCATTTAATCACTCAAAGAATCCCTTCCTTTTCCAGAAACAGCCTCCTAGATCACTTATTGCTTTTCTTGTCAGTTTGGTACAATGTCCACCCATTACACATGGGAGTACCAGTCATCTCACTGACTTGATTTTGCAAGAATTCCAACAAAAGCATTTGGTAAGGCTCTTACCATTGGCCATGTACTCTGTCACGATGTAAATTGGCTGCTTTGTGACTACAGCATAGAGCCGGACCAGCTTATTATGCTGGAGCTTCTTCATCAAGTTTGCTTCTGCCAAGAAAGCATTGGGATCCATGCTGCCCTCCTTCATGGTCTTCACAGCCACCTTGAAGTTGTTCTTGTAGTAGCCTGCAGGGAGATAACGATGCACTGAGGAATTCTGGCCTCTCTGCAGGCTCTGTTGGGCCACATAAGAAGAGCTGGTGGAGCAGGAAGCAGAAAACCACAGAAACAGTTTTCAACCTCCCAGCAAAAGAGAGTGGTAAATCTCAGACCAGCAGGCTGTGAGCAACAGCAGGTATAGGAGGAGATGGGAGAGGCACATCAGTCACATCTGCCCTATGAAGCCCATGCTGAACCACGCAAGTACAACCTGTCTGGTCCTTCCCAGAACAGCATCTACTGCTGCGGGTGTACCCAAAAAGTAGGTGTTCATACTTCAGGTGTTCATACCCATACCCAGACCAGTCCTGTCTTGAGGAAAGAGGGTTTTCTATCTCCTCTGTTTATACATTTCTTCCCTGGAATGGGGTCACTGTACTTACCCATCCACACTTCCCCAAACTGCCCGCTGCCAAGCTTCTTCACGAGTTTCAGAGACTCCCGTGGGATCTCCCACTCATCCTGTGCCCAGGGCCTCTGGGGAGCCAGAGATGTGCAGGGAGCTATGAGCCTCTGGCACAGACCATCTCCCCTCTCTGTGTGAGCAAAAAACGTAAGACAGTTCAATGGACAGTTTGACAGCAAGCTTTCAGCCCCAGAACTAACCTGCTCCTCCTTGAAGAGGAAAAAGCCAGCTCATGGGACAACTCCATAACCCCACACTGTTTCAGCCACAGGGATCAGCACAGCCAAAATGGATCCAATGAAAGGAAGAGGCTCAAAAAGAGTCATAAGGGAGAGCAGCCTGTTTAGCAAGTCCCAAACCTTTCCAGGTGTTCCTCCTTCCCTTCAGTGCTCTGTTCTCTTGGTGACTTCCCAGTTACAAGGTGGGAGGCAGAGCTCACCCTCACATTGCCCAAGGGCAAAAGACAGGGCATGGGAGCCCAGTTTGGTGGAGAGTATCTTGCTCAGGAGAGTGGATGGAGTAATGGTGGTGGCTAGCAAGCCCACTCTCCCTCTGCCTACCTCTTGCTGGAAATCAGTAGGGAAGGAAAGCAACTTACGGCTGTAATGATGGATTAGCTCTGGCAGGGTGGCAAAAGTCATCCTTGGGGAGATGTAATAACCTCCACCGTCTAAGGAGCGGATCCTGTAGTGTTTGATGATGTCCCCATGAGCAGAATCACTGTCTCTCACAGACAAGGAATAGGCACCTGGAAGAGAGCAAGAGAAAAAAATGTGAGGACAAGCAGCAACTCAGGGACCAGCAACCCTCTCTTATCTCAGCTGTCTGCAGCTGTAGGCACTTCTCCCAGCCCTTGCTGATTCCTTCTCATCGGGCTCCAAAACTGCTAATTTCCATCTTTCCATCTTTTTTTATGTTTGGATTTTGTGTTGAGAGACGTGGTTTAGTTGCATTGCCTACTACAGTTTAGTGAGTACTATTGGTGATAGGTGGATGGTTGCACTGGATGATCTCAAAGGTTTTTTCCAACCTTGGTGATTCTGTGATTCTTTGATTCTGCGTGTGAAGAGGGTGAAGTTTCACTAGAGTTTGACTGGGCCAGTTGAAGCTTGATTGGGTAAGACTTGCCTATGCGGTGACCAAAGGCCCTGTGGAAACCACATGGTCATCAAAAACACATCTTTTTAGGTCATCATAGTCTTTCCACAGCTTCCCTTTTTCATCTGAGCTCTCTCAACCATACCACCTCATCCAGACAAAGCAAGTGACTGCAGAACTGCCAGTTTGTAGAAACAACCCATCAATACAACCAGAATATTGGTTCATGGGAGAAATAAGGTCAAGAAATGTGTCCCTTCTCAGTGTTATCCAAGGTCTCCAAGGTCTTTTCCTACAGCCCATAGCCCAAACCCAATTCCACACTGATCTGTTTTCTCCTTATAATGGGGTTATAATCCAACCCATGGATTTATGAGTATATATATATATATATATATACATATATATATAAAATTATTTTTTTTCTAACAGAAAGAAACCAAAACAACCAGAACAAGACATTGCAGCAACTTCACACTTTTGTCAGGGTAAATTTCAATACAGCTCAACATTACTTTTTTTCCCCCTTTGTCTGTATCGTATTTCTGGAGAAAGCTGTTATAAGCCTGCTGGGCTGTTAAGAGTCCAATACATCAACTGGGTTGATAGGCTGCCTTTTAACATCTGAAGAGGCAAGGCCATATATGTTAAAAAGCATGTATCTGTCATATAGGATCATAAGCAGAAATGGGGCATTCCATGCTGACCGTGAAACCTTAATCCTCCACATGAGGGGAAAACTTGCCAGCACGTAATGCTGCCTGGCTGGTGTTTCTCCATCACAGCATCAGTTCTCACTGCAGTTTCCTGCACTACATCTGGAAACATTCCTTGTGCTGATAATTTAAAAAAAGTAACAATAGAAAGTCACTTCTGTGGACATTGCTCTATTGCTGTTGATTATGAGCCTCGAAAAGCAGGATCTGGGAGAGTCTACGAGTTTTCCACAAGCAAGCAGTTGCTTTGGGATGAATTCTGTTCCAAACTATGAAATACAGTCATGTAATGTTTATGGAAGACCCCCTGGTTTATATGCAGATCAAGGGAATCCAAGACTGGAAGGGCATCACTTGGGCATTATGGAGCCCTGCACCATCCTCAAGAGTGCAACAAAACATTCCAGCAAAGGGCCAAAGAATGGCTCATTTTCCACAGCCCGTGTCTTGTTGATTAAGGGCTACAACTACACAACTAAGAGTGTCTTTCCCAGAGAGACAAGTATGGTTCTTGTTGAGGGCAGAGAGGTGATGCCATAGAGATTGTGCCCGCAGTGCTTAGCATAAGCTTGGCTAGAATGGATTAACCACATTCATGCAATATTATTATTGTCATTGTTATTATTATTGCTTCTATTATTGTTGCTGTGGCTGCTGGTGATGTTATTTTAATTTCACGGTGACTGAAACAATGCACAGGCCAGGCTACAGCTCAGCAAAGTTGGGCTTATAGGGCATGAGTACAAAAGTGAGTAGCATGCATGGACATGGCTTAGGGCATGTAGTGGTTTCTGCAGAGCAAGGTCTGCGAAAGGAAGGAGCCAGACATGGTGTGAACCCATCTGCAGTGATGACACACAGCCCTGCAGAAGGCAGAGCAGGAATTAGTGACTAACGTGTGCATATGTGTGCCTGGGGACTGCAAGCCAGCAGAGATCTATTTGTTAGTATGGTTGCACCCCAAGTGTCTGCTCTCCTGCAGGACCTGCTCTCCAGACCTGACAGACCTTCCAAACCTCCTGTGTCTTTCAGAGCAGTGATGTGCAGCATGCAGCAGTGACAGAGGCTCCAGGCATCCTCCGGGCCAACCTATCCCCTACCTACTACCTGGCTAATCCTTATCCTGTCATTAGATCTTATGATCACATTTCACCCAAAGCCAGAGTTTGGTTTGCTGGAGTGAGTGCCGTGGAGCTTTCCCTGTCATTCACTGTGTTTGGTTCCTGTTCCCCTGGGAGAGGTGTGTAAATGCAAAGCATAAGAGTTGGAAAGCACCTGTTCTCTCTTCTCTCAATGACAGCAGAACATTTAAAACATTACATGGAGCCATGAGGATGGCAAGAGTCTCACCTTTCCTAGTGATAGTTAGGATGGCCAAAAGGGGTTACTGCCTCTCAATCACAAGGACTTTCCCCTACACTCCTGCATCACATCCCAGCACAAACCTGGGTTTACATACAGATAGGTCCACATTCTGTGCTGGACGCCAGCTCAGAACAGTGTGGGCACCACCAAATCTTGTCCTAAGTCTCAGAGCCTCCTGTTCTGGGTTTGGGATCATCTCTCAGGGACTCTCAGCGTCTTTCTGTTTAAAGAGTAGCAAGTTTGGTATGGGAAAAGCACTGAAGGTACAAAGGATTCTGCTCCAGATCATACCAAGGGCTGTTTAGTCCCCTAAACATGGGTATCACATACCTGTGAGATGTTATGGGACATCTGCATGGGCCTGGCAGGTATGATGCAAGACTGTATTTTATGGAGCGTCTGGATGGCTCTGAGATGTCCATGTTTAGGCAACCAGATGAAGCCCCATTGAATCACAGAATCATAGAACCATTCAGGTTGGAAAAGATCTGTAAGGTTATCCAGTACAACCCCAGCCCAGACCCTCCATGCTTACTAACACAACCCTCAGTGCCACATCCCCACAGTTATGGAACACCTTCAGGGATGGTGAACCCACCTCCTCCCTGTGTTAAGTATTAGTTAACAATCATATCCACTGCCTAAGAGATGCAGAGATGTTTCCCCAGCGGTGTGTAGAGGAATCCCCATTTAAAAAATAATAAAATAAATACATAAAAGGAAAAAGCAAAACAAGAGAGAAATACTTCCTTAGGGAGAAAAGGCAGGGGGAAAAAAAAGAAAAAAAAAAAAGAAAGAAAGAAAGAAAAAAGAAAAAGCCTCTAAAGCATTGTTTTGGAAAGTCTTTGGTGCTTATCTCTGTTCCTGCATCTCTGCCACGAGCTGTGGTAATAGGAACCACCCTCACCACAGCCTGATCTATATGAGGAGCATCATGAGGACATCTAATGCAGCCCTGCTGAGCCTGCCAAGCGTGGTTCTGTCCCACAGCAAACTCCAACACTGGCATTGCTGAACCACGCAGCTCAGGTCTGGAAGGTCCTCCAAGCTGTGCCCATGCCCAGCAGTCTCTCTGTGGATCTCACCTGTGCTGGTCTCACTCTCTCGAACAAGGAAGGAGCCAATTTTGTTACCAGAAGACAACAGCAGCCGTTCAGCATCTTTTCTGCTCAGAGTTTTAAAAAACCACCTGGGAGATGGAAAAGGTAAAACAGTTTTGGAAAAGGAAAAGCTCAGAATAAGAAAAAGGACATTCTTTCCAGTTGGTTTGGTTTTTTACTGTTACACTCTGAAATGGTGGGTTACTTTTATCAGTTAATAGATTTTCATTTGCTGGAAAGTGGCAGTAATGAGATGGTTTTGGTATATAAACAGCAGATTTCTGTCACTTTGGGCTTGCTTCACTGCCTGTTCAAGCAAAGCAGAGAGCTGAGTTTGTTCCAGTGTTGCTACAGACAAGCCCAGCCAGGGCAGGGACCCACAGCTCACCTGGCAAACCAGTAAGCCCAGAAAGGTCAAGTGTGAAGCAGATACATGGGCTGGAGGTGCCAATTGCCATTAAAACATATCCCTTGGATACAAAGAGCATCTGTGCCTTGATCCCATTTCTGCATGCTGAACTCAGTAACGGCTGGTTCTCTCTAAGAGGCGATTGCCAAGGTGGATCCCAAGGGGGATTATTGGGGCTAATCCTCTGTAACTGAATACCATCGAGGAGGATAAAAGATGGGGAATAAACCTTTCCTTCTGCTTTGATACAGAAACCCTATTGGATCAAATCTTTCTTTGCAGGGAAGCCTACGTCTGGGCTAAAGCAGCAGCTAGTGTTAGGATGCTGTTTTGGGAAGGAAAGCCCTGCATCAACCTTCACCCCTCACCAGTTTATGCACTTACTTTTCCTGTTCCAGGCTGTCTACTAGTGCAACGAAGTTGCTGGGGATGTAGCCTTTCTTCCCACTTCGGAGGGATTTGGCCAGCCACCAGTCCCCCTCGCTGCAAAGCAAGAAGTGTCAGTGCCCAGAGGCTTCACAAACGGGTACAGATTAGAGGACAACACGGTTTATGGTGTTCTGAGTGCTCTTTAGGGGAGATGTTACTCTGTGAGCTCGTTCTCCTAGGGTCACCACTTGTTTGAAGGCTGCTGAGAAAAACAGCGTGTGGCCTGTCAGTGGCTTCTCAAGGTGACAGCTTCTTTCCATTGATGTAGAGGAAGCATAGACCCAAACCTCTGCTGTGCACCAAAAGGGAGACGTGGGACATCAAGGTCACCATCACTTAATTTTGTCACTTGCACAGGGACATGGGAACTCCTCCATTCTGCTCCTACCTTTATCTACCGGCCACCAGCTTTGCTGTCCTACTCAAGAACGAGCCATGACTAAAAGCCATGCCCCTCCAGTGGGACCACTGTTCCCATGCTCCATGTGTCCATTCTGTCCCTTCTGGAGGCCACCTCACAGGATAGCCAAGGACAGAGCAGCCCTCCGAGGCTAAACAGGGCCAAAATTCACTCCTGCCCTTTTATGGGTTGGGTAGATGGCTGGCCTCTTCTCTCGTGAGTTTTAGAAGATGAAATGAAATCATTCCTCTCCCTGGCTCAACTCTGTCCTTTCCTCTGACTACACCCAACCCACATCCTTTGCAAAAGCACGATCAGCACAAAATATGCAATGGGCTGCTTTAGTGGTATTATTCATGCAACTTCTGCACCCCTGTGAACTGGCAGGGGAGAAGGTCCCAGCAGCATCCAAGCATGGACACAACCTGACTCCAAAGTGCCTGTAACCTCAGGAAAGCAGGATAGTGTCACCTTCCATATCTCCACAGCTCTGGTGGGCAGCAAATTCATGTCTGATCCCAAAGTCCCCAACTCTACCAGCCTGGTTTTGCTCGACTTTAGCATCCCTTACTTGGAGAGGATCTGAAGTTTCTCCCCCTTGACCAGCTCCAGATCACGGTCACTTGAAGCAGCAAAGTCATACAGTGCAATCACAATGATGTCATCTACAAGAAAAAGCAGCATATTGAATTCAGCTCTTTACTGGGGGTGATACACACTCAGTGCTCCAATGGGGCACTTCTCATGATCCCAAAGCCAAGATTTCCCCCAGCCCATCTATCCTGCCAGCCTCAACCTCTGCTCAGAGCTAACTCTATTTTACCCAAGCTTCCCGTGCTTCGCTTTTTAAAGCACTCCAGATCCCCACATACACAAAACCCAGCGTGTCAACAAGGAAGAAGTGTTTGTGTGGAATAAGAAAAGTCAGAAATAATCCACCAGTGCTTGGCCTCGGTTTTATGTGACAGTAAATGAAATCTGCTGTGGCAACAGGGATTTTGACTCTCCAAAAGAGGAGGCTTTCTTGTCTAGAGAAGATACGGAGACATTTCAGTTCCTGCCAGTGGAGCCCGTTGCAAGGGTCTGACTCTCCCTCCAAACATTCTCAGCTCAGCCCATATCTCTCCATCCCTTTTACGTGCTATTTCTTGCAGATGTGTCACCACCACATGTAAGTCATGCTGCAGTCTTCAGCTCCAGCACCCAGCTGCTCACTTTGGTTCAGCTACAATTCCCGTGAGGGCAGTGGTTGCTTCAGCATTTCCTCTCTCCAGACCCCAAAACCAATGCTCTGTGTCTCCCATTTCTCTTGCAACCCAGTTGGGCCAAGGCTGTGAGCAGGACTGAGTCCCCATCTCTTACCCTGACACCCTAACTACATCCGTGCTGGTCAGGCACATCTTTTGGCCAAATGAATTTCTGCGCCCTGTTGCACACATGCTGTACTGTGCATGGCACTGCGTGTGTGCATGAGGCTGATCTGTGGGCCTGGGGTCTCTATATGGGAGTGGAGCTGCTACATGTGCATCCCTTGCTGGTGCTGCTTGTGGAGAGGTTGTGTGACCTTTAATGTGTGCTTGCAGCTGCTGAAGCAGAAACGAGCAGCTATTTTGGGACAGAGCAAAACCTATGAAGGTGATCGGCATACATGCACAAACACAATCACTGAACCAAAACGTGGTAGAAAAACAACAAAAACAAAAAAAAGGGGGAAAGGAAAAGGGAAGAGAAAAGGGAAAGAGAAAAGGGTAAGGAATAAGCAAAATAACAACAACAAAAAAAGAGGGATTAAAAAAACACTGAAAAGGAAAAAGAAAAGAAAAAGAAGAGGAAAAATAAAGAAGAGGAAAAAGAAGAGAGAAAAAGGAAAAGGAAAAGGAAAAGGAAAAGGAAAAGGAAAAGGAAAAAAAGAAAAAGAAAAAGAAAAAGAAAAAGAAAAAGAAAAAGAAAAAGAAAAAGAAAAAGAAAAAGAAAAAGAAAAAGAAAAAGAAAAAGAAAAAGAAAAAGAAAAAGAAAAAGAAAAAGAAAAAGAAAAAGAAGAAAGGAAGAAAGAAGAAAGGAAAAAGAAAAAGAAGAAAGGAAAGGAAGAAAGGAAAAAGAAAAAGAAGAGGAAAAATGAGATGAAAAATAAATGGAAAAAGAAAAAGAAAAAAAGGAAAAAGAAGAGGAAAAAGAAAAAGAAATGAAGAGGAAAAAGAAAAAGAAGAAGAGGAAAAAGAGCCAAACAAAGAAGAGATGCTTTGCCGTGGAATGCTTTTAGCTCGCAGGCAGCCTAACAAATGCACCAAGAGCCACGGATAGACTACATGTAGTGTTTTTCAAAACAGACTGTCAAGCCACTGTCTCCGTGTGACCTTTTCAAATAATGCCACCAGCAAGAGAGCCAGACCGGCCTTTTGTCATCAGCAGATAAGGCGTCTGTGGGGCAGCTCGGGCGCTGGAGCCGCTGGGACTGGCGGGCAATGAGGGATGTGGAGGGTCAGCGTGGGAGGGGTGGGAGGAGGGAAATGCAGCTTTGCAAACCCAAGCTGTGAGCAGTTGCGAGGAGGAACTTGGAGGTGCAGGAGAAGTTTCAGCAGAGCTGTGCTCTTTCCTACATGAGGAGAAAAGCGTGGCTGGTCGCAAGGCTTTGAAGTCTTAAAATAGCTTGCAAGGCTGGGAGCTTCCCTTTGAGGGATCTCAGAGCATTTGGCATCAGCAGTGCATCCATCCATCCACTTGCTGCCTCCGTGAGAAAGCAGGTGTTATCTCAGCTTCTCCAACACGAGAGGTGCCTGGCATTGCCTGCTACAAGGTGGCTGGTCAATGTGCCCTCTATGTGCACCATCCCACTCCTCTTGTGAGTGAAATCACGCTCTAGTTCTGCTTTTCCTTTGAAAAGTAGAAGTAAATGTCAAGTATCGACTGGCTGCATGTTCGAATAATTTAAAAAAAAAAAGGAAGAAAAGAAAGAAAAAATGTAGTTTTGATGTTTAAGCAACTAAGGGAAGTACAGATAAACAAAACCAAAAGTAAACAACCAAAAAAGAAAAACCAACCCACCCAAAAGAGAGAAATCGAGAAAGAAAGGGAATACATTTTGCAAGGACAAGAAAAAGGGTTTGCATGGTGAAAAAATAACGCGACTCCCTCTTATCCCCTCTTCAACATTCATGTTGAGAAACATTGCACGCCAAAGTGAGCCAGAAGAAAAGTGCTCTCTCCGGCCAAGCCAGCAGGACTTGCCATCTCATGATGAAAGCAGCTCCTTCCCTCTCTGAGTCTGTCACCCTGCTGAGAAACAGCGCTGATGATGCTTTCTTGGCCCATTTGACTGAGTTAGGTCATGAAGCCGTCGGGGCTGCTGGGAGCGACTGCTTTGCAGATAGTGCTAGCAGCACAAGGGCTTTGATGGCGAGCCAAACGCGTCTTGGCTCAGAGCTGCTGTCAGGAAAGTGAGATACCAGCTCAGTTTGCGTAGGCCGAGCGCCAGTTTGATGGTTAAATGGAAATGCTTCAACCAGGCTTCCCACCGTTGCCCCGTCATGAATGGAAGGTGTTTGTAAGCATCCCATGGTGGTGGAGCCATGCTATGGTTGTGGCAGTGTCTTAAAGAGGATGGTGAATTGGTTTAGAGCTGGCAGTAGGGTTAAAGACAGTTGTGAGGTGCTGGAACAGGTTGCTCAGAGAGGTGGTGGGTGAAATTGGGTTGGAAACAGCCAAGGTCAGGCTGTATGGGGCTGTGAGCACTGATGGAGCTGTGGGCGTCCCCAGTCAGTGCAGGGAGTGGGATCAGATGGCCTTCAAGAGTCCCTTCCAATTCAAATGATTCCATGATTCTGTGACACTACGTTGGCTCAACCAAGAGATATGCTGTTAAAATTGGGTCCTGTTTCCCAGCTCAGCAAGACATGGGCTGGTTCACCAAGGTCTGCTTGGAAAGCGTGCCTTCAGAGCATAAGTTTGCAGTGAAAGAATGTTTTCTGCCAGATACGTTTCTGCCTTCTGCATCCATGCTCCATTTTGACTCAGTGAATGTTTTTGCAGGCAATTTCTGCTTTCCTCATAAAATCATATCAGACTGTAACTTCTAACTTCTTTTATTAGGAAACTGGAACACTCACTCTCATCTTCCTTCCCTCTCTTACTTTTGATTGAGAATGATATTTTTGTACAAGAACTCCTCATTTCTCACTGAGAAATAAGCCTTTTCAGTAGAAGAAATTCCTCTTTCCTTTTCCAATAATAGCCACATTCCTGGCAGCATCCTCGTCAAACTCAAATCCATCTTCAGGGAACAATAAAATGACCAAGAACTTGGATGCTGATTTTGCAGTACTTCAAAGGACTTCTATTTCCACAGCACACTCAGCTCTCAGCTTCTGAAAATCAGACCTGCTCATGCTATTAGTCGAAAACAAGCCCTGAGGTTGAAGAAGTTGCAGTTCCTCAACTGGAAGAAACATCCTTGTGGAGAAGCTGACTCTGTGCACTCTTAGGTTGTAATGATGCATGATGAGAAGCATCCAAAACAATCAGTTGTTTCCATCAGTAGTGCTTACATTCAGCTGTGAGCAGCTGAAAGGGTAAGAGTGGGTGTCATTCTTCCTATCTCTACATCTTATCTATCTAATGCAAGAGCAGCAGCTCTAGCAATGGAGCTGTGTGCTTGGACCTGGTCTATGGTGTGCTGAAGGTTTTGGAAGTGCAGAATTAAAGGTACATTTTGACTTCATAGAGTGGAGGGAGGACCCAACACTAACCTTAGAGGCACTGTGATTAAGGGTCTGTGGTAAAATGAATGAGAGACTCACACGATGGAATAACCCACAGTAAGTGAAGAGTGGGTTCACAACGCTGCCACAGCGGAACTCAGAGTTATGTACCTCTTGCCTGTCTTCATGCTACTTCCATTAAGACAAAAAATGACAGGAGGAATTAGGATTTTATAGCAAAACATAAATAATTTCTAAGATGGCAGTGTGAAATCTTGAAGTCGTGGAGAAGATGCACAACAACAAGAGCAGAAGGAGAAAAAAAGTTGTAATGGAAGGAAAGGGAAAGAGAAAGGGAAGGGGAAAATAGGGAAAATTGGGGAAAAGGGAAAGGAAGAACTGGAAGGGAAGGGAAGGGAAGGGAAGGGAAGGGAAGGGAAGGGAAGGGAAGGGAAGGGAAGGGATGTTGAGGTTGTTTCTCAATTAATATTACTTATCAAGCATTCGTAGTCAACACTTTCACCTTGAAATGCTCTCACAGGATATAATTCAGATCTTCTGTCTTTGTTATATGATTGAATTGTCTGGAAATTATGTTTTGTTTATCATCTCCCTTGAATAATTCTTTGTCACCAGAATATTTCAGATGTCTCACATGGTTCCTATCATCTCATGTTGCTACACAGGACAAAGGCAGACATAGCATCATTTCTGGAAACTTAGGCACCGAAAGAGAAAAACAAGAAGTTCCTGAATTGTCAGTGAGAGTATTCCTCCAAAACTGGAACCATACCCAACAAGCAACAGCATTTTGACATCTGCAAATGTCTATCATGGTACTTAATGCATTTTTTTGCATCTTTCCACTTCTGCCTTCTGGCATGAAGCAGAAGTAAAAGGCGTCTCTGAAGACAACTTCTGTCATGCTTCTAGACAGAGCAAAAACTTTGCTGAAAAAATAAGCATGAAAAAACAGTGATGTCTGCTCAGTTGTGGAGGTAGAAGACTTGTAAATGACTGTTTACATGGGTGGATAGCAATAGGACAAGGGGGAATGGTTTTAAAATGAGATAGGGGAGGTTTAGGTTGGATATGAGGAGGAAGTTTTTCCCCCAGAGGGTGGTGAGGCAGTGGAACAGGTTGCCCAAGGAGGCTGTGGATGCCCCATCCCTGCAGGCATTCAAGGCCAGGCTGGATGTGGCTCTGGGCAGCCTGGGCTGCTGGTTGGTGACCTGCACACAGCAGGGGGTTGGAACTGGATGAGCATTGTGGGCCTTTGCAACCCAGGCCATTTTGTCATAGGACCATGATGGCCAGGTCAGCTGTTACACTGATCATATCCATTATCTTTCTTTTTCCTTTCCTTAGCCCTATCTCCCCTTCTACTCTTCCATCCACATGAGAAAATGTTGTGATTTGCCAAACGCTTCTGTCCAAGCTTCCTCTATATTTTCGCCTTCTTCTAATTCTCTCTCTCAGTCTGTAATCTGCAAAATCTCTTTGACACAAAGAACTACAAGCTGCTGTTGGAGGCTGGGCAGAGGTAGCAGAGGGCTTCCTGCTGAAAGGCAATCATCGTCAAAATGCCATCTGCAATCTGCTGATAATTGCAGAGGTGGTTGAAGCCAACAGCTAGGCTCCGAGCAGGGGCTCTGAGCATCCTTGTTTTGTACTTTTCTTTCTTCTCATTCTCTTTGTAGTCTCTCTCTGCTGTTTCCTCTGAAATCTTCAGCCGGCTGGATATCGCATCCACAAGTTCTTGTGCTGCAGGCAGATGGATCTCATGCAGTTGGTGCCTCAGATCTCACTTTGCTCAGCCAGGGAAGGAGTGCATTTCTCTCTTAATTTCTTCGATGAGTAGGAGAAACTGGCCGCTATCAGCATGTAGTGATTTAAACTCTTTCAAAATGAACAATAAACTCCTTTCCTGGCAACACTAAAATTACAAAAACCACATGGTTGTAACATGACAACTCATTCTCAAGACCTGCTGATGGAGGACCACCACTCTGCAAAGCCCCACAGGAAGGCGAAGGAAACAGCAATTGAACTCAGCATCTTACCTTGTGCAGAGGCTTGGTTTAGATGAGAGAGGCTGATAAATTGTCTGCCCTTTGATTGAAACAGAACAAGAAAAGAAGACATAATTACTTTGCCATGTTTACAGAAGGACCTGCTTTCAGCTTCAGAGATGAGAGGGAGCCCACTGCAGCCAGCCAACAGCCCACACACTTGGATCCCAACGTGTCGTGATGGTTTTATGATGTATTGCTGTGAGGTATTTGTAGATGGCTTGACTTTCAGCTTGCATAAACCTTGACTGCCTTGTAAATAAAAATGTAACTTCCTAGCCACTCATTCATACCCTGCTCTGTCTAGCTCTGATGCCCAGTCTTGGATCAATGGAGGATGAGACGTGAATGGCCCCCATGGAGAAACAACTGTTGCAGTATTATTTGAAGCAGAAAACCTGGGATGCTCTTTGCTGTGATTGTCCCAAGGCTTGTGGAATATTTTTTGCTCTGGGATACATTTTAAAAAGAGGCAGTGACTCTCTAATAACCTAAGACCCAGTGAAGGGAGCCTTTGACTGCTGCCAGGGATATTTATACATTTGCCAAAGGAGTGAACTAGAGACAAAGAATTAAAAAACATGCATTGCTTCCAATCCATGTTACTCTTTGACTTCCTGCTTAGCAGCAGTGTGGGGAGAGAGGGAGGGCTGCTCACCCCCCTAGGTAATACCTCCCTCCTCTGAGAGCTTGAGACCTGAGACGGTTTTCACATCCTAGTTGCACCCAGAGTTTCTCCTGTGCTGGCATCTGGCTGCACTACTGACAAGGGCAGGAAGAAAGAAAACATCTTCATGTTTTCCATACAGTGAGAGGCGGCTAGATTAAGTGATTTCCTAGGCTTATATGTGGATTATTTTAGGGCACCAAAATCTGAACCCAGTAGCTGACTGATCTATGCTCATGCAAACATGGGCTGTTTGAGTTCACAGGGAGCAGCAGGAGCTCAGCATTTCTGATTCTCAGCCCAACACAGATCAGCTGCAGACCCTCTATCAATTAAGCTCCTTGCCCTCCCTGATGGTAAAGCTTCCTTTGTGGTTTGAATGTGGCAGCACTGAATCTTAGCTTGAATCTGACCCATCTTTGTGCTGTTTGCAAGTCAGCAACATGAGCCTGGATTGCAGAGAGCTGAAGGCAGCAGAGCCCAAGTGATGCTCGGCATAACACAGTGCTTCAGAGCACCATCATTGCAAGCACACTCAGAAAGTTGACCTCCATAACACAAAGAGAAAATGGAATCTACTTTAAGGAGAAAAAATCCAGAGCAAGAAGGTGATGATGGAACTGTTCACCCCGTATTAAGAAGCTGATGGGGATAAGCCAGGTGTAAACATTTGTTTTCCCTCGCTTTGAACTTTTCCCAATTGGTTGACTAAATTTCAGACAACAGAAGTACTCCAGCTCCTACTGGCACACAGAGGCATTGCCTGCATAACTCCAGACACCATCTGGGCTGCTGAGGACTTCGATAAGGACACAAAGCTGGAGACTTACTTTGGGTGGGGCAGGAGGAGGTCTACTCCTGTTTTTCGCATTGCTTCCTGATGTAAATTTCTCATTGGACATCAGCTGGTTTTTGCTCCCGATCAACCCCATCCTGGAAGAAAGACCAGAAAGTATTTTATAATTAAATTGTTCTTGGGGAAGGATGTAAGCAGTGAGAGACAAAGCAACCTTCTCACTCATGAAGAAGAAAGCGAAGATGTGAATGAGGGGCAGTGGGACAGTGGATGGATGAATCTAAAACCACCCCATCAATCCTACCTACAAAGTGTGGGCATAGAGCTTGATTCAGTTGGCCATGTGCAATGCCCCAGTACTGTCTGAGATGCTCTCAGGTCTCACAAGGTGTGGGTCTCCTGCACATCATGAATTATGTTTTCCAGATAGATGTGGGCTAGAGAATACACATCCCAGCCACCTGGAGAAGCACTAGACACAAGTTAATAAATCTCTTTCCATGAGCTATCTTCTGGTCCACTCTAAGTCTTTCCATACTTGTGCTTGAGGCCTAGCTTAATTTGCAGCCCTGAAATGTACTTTCAGCTCTGATCAATAATCCCAACATAATACCAGGTCTAGGTAAAAATAGCCAAACTGCTGCAATCTTAGTCTTCTCAGCTCCTTAAACATGTAGGGAGCATTTGAAGCTCACAATTATTGTAAAGCTATTGGCAAAAGCATATAAAGTATCTTCATCACCACATCATCCAGCACCAAATTTTGCCCTGGTCTCTGTTTTGAAAAAAAAAAAAAAAAAAAAAAAAAAAAAAAAAAAGACATCAAAATATATGGTCGAAACATCAAGGAAAAGGCAACAACAACAACAAATCAAATCCAAACTTCAAATCTTTGTATTTGGTCAAAGACACATTGACTTCTTCTGATTTTGCCTCAAGGTCTGCAACAAATACAAAGGACTGAAAATCCAGGGAACAACATTAATAGTCATCTCCCCCAGATGTCGATCCATTGCTGTGTCATGATTAGAATCCAACAGAGGATTCTAAAAAATTTCCAGCAAATCAGACTTGTGGGAAAAAAATTATCCAAGTAAAAGTGAAATTTTTGTTTTCTAGTATGGTTCTTATGTATCAAAATCTGGGACCTTTGGAATGAGAAAGTTTCCAACACAGCCATCTCAGTATTCTAAGGTGACCAAGAAAAGTCTTCAGTCCTTGAGAGAGAAGGAGATGATGGCCCCAAGAAGAAAAAAGACTCCAAGTAGGGTCTTCACAAGCTCTGAGATGATGAACTCAAGATGAGCAGAAGATGAGGAGCCTCAAGAGCAGAGAAGTTGGAAGACCCCAATTTCTTTTTTGAACTACCTTCTCCCTTCTGCTAAAATGAAGAAAATGGGTAGACTCACATGTGTTATTCTCCCCAAACAAAAGCTTTACAGCATCCATACATCTCTGGGCTTTTCTCAGACCTGAGCCTTCAGGTGGTCCATCCACCTGCAGATAGACCTCAGCATCTCTCTGGGCAGAGACTCAGTGCAGGTTGCCTTTGCCTTAGATACATCTATGGTCTTTGTACATGTTGTCTAAATACCCATCACAGGATCTTTGATATACTTTTCCCCTAAATGGGAGTTGCTGGCATGTCAATTGCTACCTTTTCTATGGAGTTAGGGTATAAGAGAAATAGCAGAAGTCTGCTACATTTCAACCATCAATCACACCACCAGGATTGTTCTATGAAAGGACCAATGAACAATATGCAGGATGAGGAATGCACGTTTTGGGATCTTGAGTCACTCTCAGGGATGGCACTGGTGGAGCAGTGTCATGGAGGGCACGAAGAGGTGTCAGCTACAGCAAGTGCCATCAGATGACGAAGGGCTTTGTGGCCATCCCATCTCTACTGACAAGGTTTGAGAAGAGCAGGGACCATGCTCTGAGCTCTACATGTCCACACAGTGTTGCTGCGTCCAGGGGATCACCCTTGTGACAGCTGGGTGTCATAGAATGGCTCGGGTTGGAAGGGACCTGGAGGATCATCAAGTTCCAACCCTCCTGCTGCAGGTAGGGCCTTGTCTCACCACGGAGCTTTCTCCCCACAAACATACAAGTGTCAAGGACACAGCTGTGCAAAGCCACACCGAGAAGCAAACAACTCGTCCCATCTCAGGCGGGAAATAGAACTGGTGAGAAATCTCCGGTAAAGGTCATCCGCTCCCACCCACATCTTTTCCTGCACTGTACACAGAGATTTGCACAGCTCTGGGTAATCATAACCCCTACAGAACCCAACGTTCACACTCTCAAGGCCTTCGGTATCCGATGAGCCCACCCTTCGTGCCAGAAGGTCCTAGATAAATGGACAGGTAATGCCGCAGTCCAACAGTGACCAAAACAGAACGCTGCTTGTCATCTCCCAGCACATTGCTGGTGAAGTTTTCATTTTCTTAATTTCTTTTTTCCCCCAAAAAAAAGGTGGACGAGAGGAACGCACACTATTCAAAGCATTTCTGCTTATGGTTAATTTCTTTCTAAATCTATGTCGCACACAAAAAAGAAAGATTGAGAAAAACAGCTGAAAGTAGCTGATAATTCTCCTGGCATCTTATTTGCTCTTTTTTGTTGCTGTTGTTTTGTTTGGTTGTTTTGTTGGCTTGTTTCTCCCTAGAGGAAAAGAGCACTGAAGAGAAAATAGCAAGTCAGAAAAACAAGGAGGTGTCCCTGGCTATAGCAGGAGGTTGGAACGGGATGATCTTAAAGGTCTCTCCCAAACCAAACCATTCTGTGATTCCATGATTTTTAATGACTGAAAGTGAGGAAACCTCTCCTTCTGATAGTCCTTGAGTATAGATAAGAAAACTATTCATCGCATTGATAATACTTAACTAAAATGCTCTCCTGTGTTCATTCTTCTTTTCACTCATTTCCTCAAGCCTACTCAAGTTCAAAACCAACACAATTTATTTTAAGAACATCTTTTTAAAGCAACCAGAGTTCAAAACTGAATTAAAGTATTTGATGCAATGCAAAATTTTCCAGATGTCCAGCTCGGTTGCTGGCAAATTTTGAGTAAGAATATTTCACGCAGAAGTCTCCTTGAGAGAGTCAAGCGAGCCCTTGCTGAGCAACCTGAAAGATACAAGAATGGTGAGCCCTGTGCAGCATCCATCTCTGAACAAATGCACGACACACATGCACATCACACACACACTGGATGCTTGGATAGGAAAGAAGATGGTCTTTAGAAGGGACACTTTGGCTCAGGAGAGCAGGATGCAGGTACATATGTTCCTGCAACAATGGTCCAAAGGAGGTTTCTGAAGACCCCATCAGAGCTCATCTCAAGCAAAGCTTCCACTGACAACTGGGTGACAGAATTGTGATGGAGAATCAAGGATGTGACTGAAGGTTCTATCAACGCCCATCTTTGAAAGGGTTTGCAGAACATTCCTTACTGAAACAAACCATCAAGCTGTGCCTGATGTCCCATTAAGGAGTCCAGTAGAGGTGAACACAAGTCTTTGCTGATCATAGGGTTTGAGGATCTGCCTTTTCTCAATGCTGGGCCTTCTCAGTTCTTTAGGGTGTCAAAAAACAAAACAAAACAAAACAAAAAACACAAGATGGTGACAAAATGGACCTGCTGGATACACACAGGTATTTGTATTTGTTGCAGCAGATGGGAGAACAGGATGGAAGTACCTGTGCTAAGCCAGGTGTGGCAAGACCTAATTTTCCCATCCTCTTTGGGTAAGCAATCCTATATCACAGGCATGCCATCTCCTGCAGTTGGCTTCTTTCTGTTACCCAAACAAATGTTTCTTCTGATGTTTTCTGCAATGGGGATGTGGATGACACAGATGAGCAGCCTTGGGATTGCATGGGCGTGCATGGGGAAACAAGAAGACCGAATCTTGCAGAAAAGCAGAAGTCTCGGCTCGTTATTTGCTTCACCCCCATGAAATTGTGCCATGGAAAAAGAACTTAAGGCCTGAGCAAGCCAAAAGTGTTTCGCTGTGAGGGCAGCTCCAAAAACCCCCAATAAATCTCAAAATGGCCTCCTTTACATTCAGACTTTAGAGGGGGTCCAGCAAAGTGTTTTCATAGTTGACCCAGATTAGATATTTCACTTCATTTTAAAACTTCAGAAAGTCTTTCATAAGAAAATGGATTTTAAAGGAAATGGCATTAAAAAAATGCAAAACTATAAAAACATATTCTAAAAATGAAAGGTCTTGATTGCTGAAGCTCTCTTTCTCCTACCAGAAAGGATGAATGAAATCAGCTCACTTCAGATACAATGATTTAGATATGCCAGATTTGCAGTTGAATAAGTGAGGAGAAAAAAAGATCCGTTGAAATTTCCCCCCAGATCTAGGCATGTCCCAGATGCATTACATACTCTGGAAGCTTTCTTCTGTCTTAACAAAATAGTTCATTACATTTCCAAACTAGGCAACCTCAGATTGCTTTGCAAGACACAGCACCAAAGAATTACAGAAGAGCTTGATTCGATCAGCTACTCAAATGGGAACAAAGAAGCCATCGCTGTTGTGACTGCTTTCCAGTTCTGCTGGGGTTTGGTAAAGATGTTTTTAACGCTATGTTTAAGTCTGCATGATTAGCGGGTCTGTTGCTAGGAGGTGGTTAGAAGTCAGAATTGAGCAACAAGAAACGTGCTGTGCTATAAACAGCACCAATCCCACAGAAGGTCTGTCTCAGAAAGAAGGCAATGCACGCAGTGCTGCATCCGCAGCTAAAGTCATGATCACTCCTATGGCCAAAAGCTACTTCTCACTTGGAGGGACCAGAGTGCGCATAGAGGAGTTAGAAAAGCAATGTAGAAAGTAGAGCTGGAAAGCACAGAGCACTGAGCATCACGGCCTCCGCTGGAGAGTGAAGCAGATGCCTATGTTACATGTTGCATCTACACAAAATCACTGAAGACCTGGAAGGTTCCTGTTGGTAATGCTCAAATGTCATCCAGTTCAGGTTGGATATTAGGAAATATTTCTTTTCTAAAACAATGGCTATGTGCTGGCACAGCTGCTCAGGGAGGTGGTGGGGTCTCTGTCCCTGGAGGTGCTCCATAACCATGGGGATGTGGCACTGAGAGAAGTGGTCAGTGGGTATG